GGACACCGCGGGGTCCCCAAAGGAGGTGACACGGTGGGGTCTGGACCCTCGGAGATGGGGGAACGCGGTGGGATCCCCCGTTCGCGGTGACAGGGGTGACAGGAGATGCGGACGCTGCTCCCGTCCCCGTTCCTGTCCCTGCTGTGTCCCTGTCCCCAACGCAGAGCTCTTGCTACGGGTGACACGGTGGCGCCCCAGGCCGGTGGTGACAAGGGGACGTGGTGGTACCCCAGGCTAACGGTGATGGGGGGAACGCGGTGCGGTACCGGGGAACGAGGAGCCCCGTGGGGGGGTGCCAGCGGGGTCCCATTGGGTGCCTGCGGGTGACAGAGGAGACGCTGGGTGACAACGGGGACCCCCAGGGTGACAGTGGCGCTCACCCTCGTAGTTGACCTGTCCGTCACCGTCGATGTCGGCTTCTCGGATCATCTCGTCCACCTCCTCGTCCGTCAGCTTCTCCCCCAGGTTGGTCATCACGTGCCGCAGCTCCGCCGCGCTGATGTACCCGTTCCCATCCTGGGGTTGGGGACACGGCGGTGACACCGCCGCCTCGCCAACCCCCGCTGTCCCCACGCCTGTCCCCGACTCACCTTGTCGAACACACGGAAAGCCTCGCGGATCTCCTCCTCGCTGTCCGTGTCCTTCATCTTCCTCGCCATCATGGTGAGGAACTCGGGGAAGTCGATGGTGCCGTTGCCTGGGGCGGCGGGGACAGTGAGCAGGGGGACAGGGGGACGAGGGGACAGGCGGGGACAGGCGGCGGGCTCACCGTCGGCGTCCACCTCGTTGATCATGTCCTGCAGCTCGGCCTCGGTGGGGTTCTGGCCCAGCGAGCGCATGACGGTGCCCAGCTCCTTGGTGGTGATGGTGCCGTCCCCGTCCTTGTCGAAGAGCGAGAAGGCCTCCTTGAACTCTGGGGACCGTCACCGCGGGGACGGCGTCAGGCGCTGTCACCAGCGGGGGCCGGGAACAGCCGGGGGGGGGGGGGGGGCGGGGGCACACCCCCA